CTCCCCTCCTTTGTTTTGCCGATGATGAAATTGTCTAAGTCTATACATTATATGGAATATGAGCTGATGATCAAGAACTTGTGAGGAACTTGGCATCATTAGCAGCCGCCCCTACATTACCTTCTCCTCTCTTCTATGTTATGATGCCTTGATGCTCCAAGTTCAAGATCAGATGATGATTGACATGTTTCTGAGGCCTCTACCACTACTACTTCTCGTTTTTTTATATTATTGTTTTATAGGACTACTTTGGTTTATAGAGCTTTTTGATTTCTTATACCTTCTCGCGTACCTAAAGCACACTTTCTTGCATCTTTTAGAACAAAGCGCAAAATAATGTCGCGGACAACAGACCGTGCAGCTCGATGCCCCGAGCATGATGAGCAGCCAACCCTTGAGGAGCAAGCACTAGAGGACCAGCTTACTCAGGAACAGTTCGATAACGAGGTAGAAAAGGATCTAGAAGTGATGCTTACTCAGGAGGAGTGTGATGAGGAGGAAGGCCCCGAAGGAGAGGCTGCTGAAGGCGAAGAAGAAGAGGATGATGAGTCAGAAGAGGGATATGAAAGTCCCGAGGATCCTTTCCCACCTGAAGCAAGAAGGAGGCCAACGGAGGAAGATTTGGACAAGGATTTTGACCCGAACGAGGAGGTAGGGAAGAAGCCTTAGCTTGTAAATTTTGCTAAAGCTTTGGCTGTGTTACCTTTGCTAACACTTTGACCTATCCTATATACAGGTCCCTCCTGAAACTCAGAAAAGACAACGTCGACGTCCGTGACATCTCGCTGGACAAGACAGAGTAGAGGAAAGGAGAGCAGAGGCAACAACCACAGAGACGGATCACGATGCCTCTGCTCCACAAACTCAAGACACAACCACGACTACCAAGCCTAAGAGGAAATGAGGGGATAGAAAAGGAAATCTATATCCAGATAAGGCTTGCTATATGATAACGGAGGTTGGGCCAGCAGGGGAGATCCTTGAGCCGAAGGAATTAAGAGGACGATTCCGTTATGCGATCGGGGCCCTAGTAAGAGATAAATTGAACCCAGCAATCCCTAACTGGAAAGAGGTACCAGAGAACATAAAGAATGCACTATGGGATAGGCAGCTGAAGGTCAATTTTAGATTTCCGGAGGGTAAGCACGAATTGGTAAAAAAATGCTATCAGGATGATGGGAGAGTCATTTCGACGTTGGAGGTCAGAGCTTAACACGAAGTATATCCAAAAGGGGTTAACTCCCTTCAACGAGTTTGGCAAAATAACTCCTAGTCAATGGGAGGAGCTCGTGGCTCAAAAGACTTCAGCGGAGGCATTGGAGCTCAGTGCTCGTAACACCGAGCTAGCAAAGAGGAACAAACACCACCATCATCTAGGCCCCGGTGGCTACTATGCCAAGGAAGAGCAGTTTAGGAAGATGGATGAAGAGGCCGCAGCTGCTGGGAATATCGATGTGATGAAGTTGAAGGTACGCTCAAGGAACTGGATATATGCGAGGAGTATAGAACCATCCGGCAGTAATCTTAAGTTTGATAAGCCGGAGACCCAAGAGGCGGTATCAAGGATACTGAAATATGCTGAAGACAAAGAGACGGGCTCATTCAATCCTTCCAGAGAGAGGGACGAGCTTAGCCTTGGCTTGGGAAACAAGGAGCACACAGGCCGCACCAGGGGGCTAGGGAAAAGGATGACCTGGAAGCAAGGATTCGAAGAGGACAGGCACATGTACAAGAAACATGGCCGAGACCGGGAGACTAGTCTTGAGCTCCAAGTGAAGGCTCTAGTTGCGAAGGCGCTGGAGGAGCAAGGAATGTCTACGGAGCCACGTATATTAGTGACGCCACCGGGAGAAGTGGCATTAGTTACTAGCCCTTCGAAAGTTCCTAGCAGCCAAGGTTCCACTGCAGCCACAACCTCAGTCGATCTCATACGGGAACCTACTAGTTGCACCTTGATGTTTCTCAGCGGCCGGCAGAACACTATGATGGAGGTGGCAACAGGTGTTGCACATCCTCCCGGTGGCTTACACCACAATAATAAGATACCACCGGACTACACTAGGGTCGAGGTGCATACAGTGAAGCCCGAGTTCATGCAGTGGAGGATAGACTACGCAACTCCCGAGGGGCTGGTGTTACTCAGAGACGTTATGGGGCAGTTCATCCTCTGGCACAAACGGGACATTATATTGACTGTTTCTTCGCCGCCTCCCTCTCTCCCAAATTTGGAGCGAGTTGTTGAGGCCGGGGAGATATTTTCACCGTCTCGCGACCCCCACATTCCTGAGATGCCACATTCTTCCCCGCCTCCTATCGAGCATGTGCCTGATGAGATGCCACAACCTTCTCCAGCTCGTACCGGGCAAGTGCATCATGAGATGCCACAGTCTTCTCAACAAGCATAACCGATACATGAACAACAAGTGCCTCCTAAAGAAGGTGATGCACAAGAAGATGAGGACGTGCCTGAATGGGAACTCCGAAAGAAGATTCCAATCCACATAAGGCCAGTTTATGTTCCGATCAAAGACGTCTCGTCGGTGTCCAAATGGTATTCCCATGATTAGTTAAAGCCTGAAAACCAAGTTAAAAAAGTCCCATCACGGGGTTCTGAGGAGGCCGTCAGTAGCAAACTTCACCAAATTGCAAAGCAGTATCCAAATGTTGATGCCATCGAATGGTCAAAGGATTGCCCGAAAAAATATGAAAGAGGCAAGCCCTTCCTACCAAACCGGGACATCCAGCGCCTACCACTTGGAATGAGAAGGTTACATGATTGGTACTTGCGTGTTCTCCCAACGAGCATAGATATCATACAAGCATGCTTTCCCACCGGCACATTTGGAAGCCCAGCCGGGAAAATTGTCTTTGACTTCAATGACTGCACACATACTTTCACCTTGGAGAAATGGAGATGAATCTAATTCGCACGTGGTGCCTGTAAGTCCTTGTCCTCCCGATATGATATGAATGTAATCTTTGAATTTTGTTGTAACTAACCCACGCCGTGATTTGTAGAATGCAAGTGCACATTGTCAAACAAATGCCAAGTGTGAAAGCCGGGTATGTAGACCCTCAAGCTATAGCCCAAACAAATTTTAATTACCCTAAACGGTGGACACTGGATGCCAAAGAGCTAGCAGCTGCAAAGACTCTTCAGGAGAAAGGGCGCATCTGTAGTGCGAAGCTAAGGGAAGAGTCCCTTAAGATTGCGGCATACATTGCCTTGGCTTTCAAAAATCTCCAACACCACTCTACTATATGGCTACCATACAACTTCGAGTAAGCTCAACTCTATACTTAAAGCTTTGTTCGATATATTTCATTCAATGCAAAAGGGCTTATCTAGTTCTATGATTAAATCCATGCAGAAACCACTGGATTTGTATAGCCGTCGATGTCGAGAGAAGCATGGCATGGGTCTTTGATTCATTAGATAAGGACACGGTGACATACAAAGACTTCATATCGATTCTCAAGACGTATACATATCGACAATCCTCATTAGCTTATATGTTTGTATACATACTTGTAACGTTCAGTTTTGGATACTAACAAGTTGTATTTGCTAAAATAATTCAAACAGGACATTTAGGTTCTATGTCACTAATCATCATGGAAGGCATGATCCAGCAAGGAAGGAAAAGCTGGCTATAAAAATACTATGTGCGATAAGTGTAACTTACTTTTTCAGTACTCCGTTATATGGCTGTCAAAAGCATTACTTAACATTTTCATATGCAAAACACACAGTGCCCCAAGCAGAAGCCTGGGAGTACATTATGAATACTATATATGTTCTATGATAGATAACACCGGTGCCTATAGGAGACACCCCTTAAGGGTAAGTTTGAACATCTTCACCCGTAGTATAAAAACTTCGTAAATGGTATGAAATACTAAACTGAAACTTGTTTTCTTGTAGTGGAGAGAAGAGAAAAAAAATGAAAAGAGACCCATACAAGGATGACCAACTCTTAGAGCTTGTCGGCGACCTTTGCAACTTCACATTGGACCAGATTGTACACGTTAGAGGCGCCTACCATGACCGAGAGTCTGACTTAGGTACAAATCCTCAGTACCAACACCTTCGTGAGACTGAAAGGCTAGCTCTAGGACGTTGATAACAATGTGTATGAAATTTATATATTTAATGATGGATTGTATATATTTATGTGAATTGAACTTGTAATTGTAGTTTATAGAATACTCTTATGCTTGTAGTCGCGGTCGCGGGGTGTTCGGCAACGCGAACGTTGGTCACGGGCCGTTCGGCAACGCGAACGCGGTTCGGAACGTTGATCGCGGGGCGTTCGGCAACGCGAACGCGGTTCGGAACGTTGGTCGCGGGGTGTTCGGCAACGCGAACGCGGTTCGGAACGTTGGTCGAACATTGGTCGCGGGGCGTTCGGCAACGCGAACGCGGTTCGGAACGTTGGTCGTGGGGCGTTCGGCAACGCGAACGCGGTTCGGAACGTTGGTCGCGGGGCGTTCGGCAACGCGAACGCGGTTCGAAACGTTGGTCGCGGGGCGTTCGGCAACGTGACTTTAAATTGAAAATTTGATTTTTTTTTGCGGAAAAACGTACTGTAGGGACAGTTCTAGATTAAACCGCCCCTACAAATACCTGTTTGTAGGGGCGGCTGGTACTACAGCCGTCCCTACAAATCTATTTGTAGGGGCGGCTGGTGATAAGAGCCGCCCCTATAAATAAATTTATAGGGACGGCTAGAAACACTAACCGTCCCTACAAATCGATTTGTAGGAGCGGCCTGAGAACCGTTCCTACAAATACATGATTTATAGAGACCCTTGCGTAGGGGCGGCTAGACAAACCGCTCCTACAACCACCCCTTTTTGACGTAGTGAAATCAGCACGAGCTCGGAGGCAGGACACGGCATGCAAATGCAACTATACCTAGCCTGCCACGAACTCGGTGACGATGCGGCCACCAGGCACGGTGTCCTGGGTGACGTTGACCCCGTGCTTGGCAACGGCTTCACTCGCCTGGCCCGGGCCGACGGCGCCGACGGCCTTGGTTGTACGCGGCGGCGGACTCCATGAAGGCCGCGGCGCTGATCCCGCCGCCGCTCTCCTGCGGGACCTGGACGCCCGGCACGCTGTCCTCGGCGGAGCGCATGGCCGCGGCGTCGCCCAGCGCGATGGGTTGCCCCGCCAGCTCGCCCTTTACTGGGAAGGCGTCGCCGTATTTGATGGGTTCCGGCTGCGCCGCCGGGGCCTTGCCGCCCTGCGCCTGGAGCCCTTCGTCTCCTCTTCTTGGCTGAGGCTGCGCCATTGTTACCACTACTCTTCCAGCCTCTAGGAGTAGCTAGACGCCTATACCTGGCGATCGAGATGCCTCCTGGAGACGAGCGGAAATTCTTGTTGGCTCGGCTCCTGATCCACTACTCTTTCAGTGCCCTTATATATGGACACTTGTTCTTATCATTCACTACTGTTGCTAGTAGATAGGAGTGGCTAGATCTTTCTACCAAGCAGGAGCTTTTCGCTAGGCACTGTATCGCGTGCAGTACGTGGAGGAGTCGGGTCACGGGTGGCTGCAATCTAGATGCGTCGGTACGTACGGGCATCCGTGGTGGGCGGATTGGATTGGTGCGATGGTGCTGGAGCGGCGCCGGCGCATGGTCGATGCGGTGGCTACGTGTGTCTCCCCTCTCACGTCGTCGGCGTACACGCGGCGCGGCGAAGCCTGCACGTGTTTTGGCAACTTGTGCTGGTGGCACTCTCGTGTCGTCGCCACAGATCAGATATCACACAGCAAGCGGATATATGTAATAACGATCGTACTGGCACATTTGTGTCTCCATATGACCGTCCTAGCTAGCTAGAGATAATCTCTTGGCTATTTAGTGTCGTGCACACAAAAGAAAGCTTCTTGATACGAGCCAGTAGCTTCTCTAGCCTAGCATACGACAGATAGAATAGTACATCAACGTGGTGGGTGATCAAGAACGCCGTCATGCTGGCGATTACACTAATAGAGAACAGATCTTTGATCCTTGACTAAAATGGACTTTAGTCCCGGAATTTTTTACCCTCGGGACTAGAAATACCTTTAGTCCCGGTTGTTGGCTCCAACCGAGACTAAAGGTCCCTACCCAACGGCAACTGCGCTAGACAGAGATGGCAGGGACCTTTAGTCCCGGTTGGAGCCACCAACCGGGACTAAAGGTATACTTTTACTCCCGGTTGGTGGCTCCAACCGGGAGTAAAGGTCTACTCCCAGGCCGTGGCTGCGCCCGGGGTTGGAAAGTTACCTTTAGTCCCGGTTGGAGCCAACAACCAGGACTAAAGATCCCCCTTTATATTCCGGCCGTCTCCTTCCTCCCCGAGCCCGAGCTCAGCACATTTTGAAGCTCACTGCAGTAGTGTTCTTGCTTCCTCCCTCCCTCCATTGTTCCTCCATCCATTCTTCGATTCCTCCGTCGATTTCTTCGATTTCTCCGTCGATTCTTCAGTTGTAAAGGTTATCAATCTCATACTCTCATTTTTCACCATTGTCTTATCTCATTTTGTTCAATATATATATATGTGGTTCTTTATTGTGGTTTTTTTCATTTGTAAGCAGTTTGAGCTTAAAATCACTTCAAACTTGCATATTTACATGAAAGAAGGTTAAAGTAGCTAGTTGAACTTGCGGACCGTGTTCATCTCGGCGACCATGTTCTCTGCTGAGTGGTAACGGACGTCAAGGAGGAGCTTTGATTCTACGAGGAAGAGCGACAACGATCGTGGAAGACCGTGTTCCCTTCCTCGTAGAATCGGAGCTCTTCCGTGGCAAGTACGGTGCCGTCCGGTGGAGAAATGCTCGCCGAGATGATCACGTAAGCAAGTTCAACTAGTACGAATGGTTATTTATTCATATGTCCCGATATCGTCGCAGTAGTCTGTCAATCACTGTACTTTTTATTTTAACTTTTTATGAAATAAAAACTTAGAAAATAGTTAGAAAATTATAGAAAATCCGTACTAGTTGAACTTGCGGACCGTGTTCATCTCGGCGACCATGTTCTCTGTCGAGCGGTAACGGACATCAAGGAGGAGCTTTGATTCTACGAGGGAGAGCGGCAATGGTCGTGGGAGACCGTGTTCCCTTCCTCGTAGAATCGGAGCTCTTCCTTGACCAAGTATGGTGCCGTCCGGTGGAGAAATGCTCGCCGAGATGATCACGTAAGCAAGTTCAACTAGTACGGATGGTTATTTATTCACATGTCCCGATATCGTCGCAGTAGTCTGTCAATCACCATACTTTTTATTTTAACTTTTTATGAAATGAAAAACTTAGAAAATAGTTAGAAAATTATAGAAAATCCGTACTAGTTGAACTAGCGGACAGTGTTCATGTCGGCGAGCATGTTCTCTGCTGAACGGTAACGAACGTCAAGGAGGAGCTTTGATTCTACGAGGGAGAGCGACAATGGTCATGGAAGACCGTGTTCCCTTCCTCGTAGAATCGGAGCTCTTCCTTGACCAAGTACGGTGCCGTCCGGTAGAGAAATGCTCGTCGAGATGATCACGTAAGCAAGTTCAACTAGTACGGATGGTTATTTATTCACATGTCCCGATATCGTCGCAGTAGTCTGTCAATCACCATACTTTTTATTTTAACTTTTTATGAAATGAAAAACTTAGAAAATAGTTAGAAAATTATAGAAAATCCGTACTAGTTGAACTAGCGGACCGTGTTCATTTCGGCGAGCATGTTCTCTGCGGAGCGGTAACGGACGTCAAGGAGGAGCTTTGATTCTACAAGGGAGAGCGGCAACGGTCGTGTAAGACCGTGTTCCCTTTCTCGTAGAATTGGAGCTCTTCCATGGCCAAGTACGGTGCCGTCCGGTGGAGAAATGCTCGCCGAGATGATCACGTAAGCAAGGTCAACTAGTACGGATGGTTATTTATTCACACGTCCCGATATCGTCGCATGATGATCATTATGTGTGTACACTCCCATTCTTACATTAATTTGCGGAAATATCATGTGAATTACTTTACCGCCATGATAAAAGACAAGAACACAATGACCATTAAAAATATCATTGTTTAGAGATCTAGATAATTTTATAGTTTCTTAATTTTATTTGTTTATAAAAGGAGAAATTTATAGTGTATTAAAAAATTAGTATAGAGAGTAGATGGCAACTGCTTCCGGGTCCTCGGCCTCTCATGGGTTTCCAAAGTGACTTAGGCCGGGCCTCCCTCTCATTCCATGCGGCAAGTGTCGTGATGAGATGAAGATTGTGATGGAGTACCGAGTGAAGGAGGGTCCCAACAAGGATCGTATCTTCTACAAGTGTCCGGATCACAATGTGAGTTATTTTATCATATTTAATGATTATGGTTAGTTTATACCTATTTTCATGATGGTTGTGATTAAAGTTATAATTTTTTATTTTAATTTTAGTGGAATGGTAGTGGACGATGTTTAGGCTTCTATTGGGAGGAAGAGTATGTTGAACTCGTGCAAAAATATCTTGCACAACAGGCAGATACGGCAGCTAATGAGGCAGTGATCCAGCCGAAAAAACCCAAAGATGTTACACAATCGGGGGATCTGTCTGTTTTAGTTGAGATTGGTCGTGAAATCCTAGTGCTACTGAAATGTATTTTAGCTTTAGTTCTTTTAGTGGTAGTTGGGATTGTCTACATTGTAGCGATGCTTTTATAAATTTTTATCTTTTGTGGTGGCACACATGTTGTATAAATAATTAATTATGATCTAGGTTTTAATATGGTATTTATGTCATGTAATGCAGATGAGCCGTCATTGGATGTATAATGCTGATCGCCGCGCTCCCAAGAGTTCATTGATTGGCGTGCATTCTTTGTTACGTCTTGGCGAGGCAAACAAACGCATGACGGTTTCATGTCTGCGCCTATGTGCCATATGTAAGAATACGGTGGAATATCCTTGCTCAAGGACTCTTCATTCACACTTGTTCAAGTCGGGTTTCATGCCAAACTATATTTGTTGGACAAAGCACGGAGAAACCGGTGTTGTAATGGAAGAAGGTGAAGAAGAACAATGGGACGACAATGATATTATTCCACGATGGTGCGTGCTTCAATGATCTTTGCAATGGGAGAAAGTGAAGAAGAGGTAGCCATGAGAAGATGAGCCGGTGATGATCTTTCTCGGGTCATTCGTGGACGCACAAAGAGAATGTGAAAGTGAAAAGGAGAAGATCAAGTTTGAGCGGATGCTAGAAGATCACAAGAAATTGTTGTACCCAACTTGTGATGCGAGGCGAAAAAGTTGGGAACCACACTAGAATTACTGCAATGGAAGGCAAAAGAATGGTGTATGTCGACAAGGGATTTGGAGAGTTACTAAAAATTCAAAAGAAGATGCTTCCAAAGGACAATGAATTGCCCGCCACTACCTACGAAGCAAAACAAGTTGTCTGTCCTATGGGGCTAGAAATAGAGAAGATACATGCATGTCCTAATGACTCGCATCTGTACCATGGCAAAGAGTACGAGAAATTGGATGCATGCCCGGTATGCCATGCGTCATGCGGTATAAGATCAGGCGAGATGACCCTGGTGATGTTGAGGGCGAACGTCCGTGGAAGAAAATCCCTGCCAAGGTTATGTGGTATGCTCCTATAATACCACGCTTGAAACGTCTGTTCAGAAACAAAGAACATGCAAAATTGTTGCGATGGCACAAAGAAGACCGTAAGGTAGACAATATGTTGAGACACCTATTTGATGGGTCCCAGTGGAGAGCAATCGACGAGAGAATTCGGAGTTTGCAAATGGACGCAAGAAACTTAAGGTTTGCTTTAAATACAGATGGTATCAATCCTTTTGGAGAGCGAACAGTAGTCATAGCACTTGGGCACATTACTCTAAGTATCTACAACATTCCTCCTTGGTTATGCATGAAGCGGAAGTTCATTATGATGCTCTGTGCTCATCCAAGGCCGAAGCAACTGGCAATGACATCGATGTGTACCGAGACCACTTATTGACGAACTTCTCATTTTGTGGAATAAAGAAGGTGTACGTGTGTGGGATGAGTACAAATAGAAACACTTTGATCTGCGAGCATTGTTGTTCGTAACAATCAATGATTGGCCTGCTCTAAGTAATCTTTCAATCTGATCAAATAAGGGATATAATGCATGCACACACTTTGCTTCGGTGATATTAGAGGTGTATTCTTGAAAAAATGTCGAAAAAAGGTCGGTACCTTGGCCATCGTCGATTTCTTCCCGCAAATCATCCCGTAAGAAAGAAAGGCAAGCATTTTAAAGGGAAGGCGGACCACGA